TCCTTCCGAGTATTGAGTGGATTTGAAACCTAACTTTTCTAGTGGGTGGAAAGACGTCTTTATACTAGCTGCCTTCGAGCAAACAATAGGAGCGAACCGGCCCGGTCATGTTTGTACAGGCACATTTTAACACACACGACAGTTGAACGTCGTTTGCGACCATGTCCACCACGAGCTTCAGTAACCTGAGGCAAATGCGGTGACTCCCGCGGGAATATAGTGAAAGTAGACTCACTCTCTGACCACTCCCGCACCAGCACCTCCTACTGGTCACGTTAGCGGACGAGGACATTGTCCAGGAGATGCCGCTGCCGGAAGCGCGGATGCATCCAAGTTGCCTTTTGCTGCAGCGGAAGGCGAAAGAAGTGTGGTCAGGATAATACGATGTTCTGCGCAGGTTCGCAGGAGGATCAGGCCATTATCACTAAGTCCACCAAGACCGTGGGGACTCAACACTCTTCTCCAGGCAGTGTGGTTTGGGCCGACGCGAGCGTTGAAGTCACTAAGAACAATCAACTTGTCCGCCTTCGGCACAGTCGCCAGGAGGGCGTGCAAATCCTCGTAGAAATTGTTCTTTGTCTCGTCGGAATTGGTCATCGGAACAGCAGTACTTATCGTAGTAGCAGTAGTGGCGGTAAGAGCGTATTTCCAAAATTACTGCAAACAATTCGAGTACTAGGGCGACTCGTACCTTCACTATTGTTGCTAGAGATACTAAGTCTGCTTAACTGATAGTGCTCGGAATGGCAGTGTTATTACTATTTATACTGATAATGGAACACTGCGGGTACCAGTAATGTAGGAGTACTAATGACATTGATGTGAAAAGATAAACCACAAACAATGATAAAGACAATAATACAGCAATAAAATACAAAAATACGATCGCAAAGGCAATTATGCAACAACAAAATATCAGGTAGGTACAGTAGGACAATAGAACAACTAATACAATGCTACAGGAATATTGTAATACTAATGAAATTGATAGTAGTATTACTAGCGATGGTAAGTCCAGTACGAAGACTAGTAGTACAAGCGTTAGTAGCAGTACAGTACCTACTAATAATATTGTTAATAATAATAGTGATATCAGTAATACTATTGATACTAGTAGTGGATACAATGCTACAAGGACAGCGTAGTGCTAGTGATAGTAGTAATACTAATGATAGTAATAACATTGTCAATACTAAGCTCCAGTAAAAATCAGAAATAAAAAGCAAAAAGAATAATAAGTAGTAGTGTGAACACTATTAGTATTGATGGTGAGAACAGTACCGCGCCCACTAATTATATTGTTGCTAGTAAAGAGATAAGTAAGGGTAACGGAAAAATACCGCGAAGGCTATCCTACTACTGGCAAGCTACCGTGGCTCCTAGTATTATTGCAGTGATTACAGACACAAGAGAATTGTTTCGTATGCTGTTGTGGTGCCTGGAATACAGTAATAGCCATGCACCGTCCGTCTACTATGTATAATATAATAATTACTACTGCTACCCCATGCATACTGGGTGTAGGGTAGGACACACATCGGAGACTCTCACTTGGTTTAGTCCGCCGATCGAGGCGGTTACCGGCCGGTGGCCGCTAGGCAGAACGTAACTTTGGTGAGCCACAAGCGAGAGCTTGTCCATCACGTGCTTCAGCAATCTGAAGTCAGACACGGTGACTCAAACT